TATTTGATTTATATGAATTAAGATACTAATATTAACACGTGGTATCAGAGCTAGGTTCCAGGAAGGGACCCAGTGTGAAGATTATATACATGGATTATGATGGGGCATGTTTTGGGGGCTAACCTATGTTACCAACTTTAGCTATTTGTAACTACGAATTCGTGTCTCCAAAATATCCATGGATAAGGATCACGATCTTATGAGATTCAAGGCTTGTTGAGATCATGGTCTCATGTGAGTCAACAGTCTAAATAGTGGTTCCAAGTCTTAAAGGATTTAAAGAGCTAGGCTGACTTAGTCAAGTAATTTCACTATAACGTGGACCACCCTTATCATTATTGGATCTCTTGCTATAACCATTATGTCATTTTGAATAGACATTGTTTTAATTTTAGCCTAAACAACACCATAATTTCATTAGAAGCTCTAATAACCCTAATACAGAATCATTTCCCCCACAATTAAAACGCCCCTAGCTAGCTAGAAGAATATAAAAATAAAGTCAAGTAATGGCATGCTAGAGCTGTTAACATGGGTCAACTTGTAGCAAGTTGCGGGCATGCTAAGACTTCTCAACCTAGCTAAGATCACATGTTTGCTTGAATTACATTAGATATAATAGAATTATAGATTGATTTTAAGGATATTTTTCTTCACATCAAGAGGCTGTCTTAGTCACCCTATATATAAGGCGCTACCATGATTTATCATTTAAGTCCCATAAAAGGACAATAAATTATATTATTTAAAATTTTAAAGTTTTTGAAAACTGGTTGAGATACAAGGTAGATAATATTATTACCTTCTTGCAGTGCCTACACCTCTAAATTTGAGAGAGATATCGCAAGGCTAGGGGGAAATCAAGTAGAAATATTAATAAGATGGAGTAATTATTAAATATTAAATATAAATAACAAAACAGAATCAGCAATCATGTTTCAATTGAATGCTAGAATAACTAAAAAAAATGAATAAATGGCAATTTGAAGTTTATGGCTTCTAGTGGTTTATGTTGCCTAATAACATGAATCTTCTATAAATTACCTACTAAGTCACTCTTCATAATATATTTCTTTCCTTTCTTCCTATCATTAGTGCAATTTGCTTGTTTCGATGATAACATATCACTTCTATCATAATTCTCAAAAGCTTGTGCCTCGTAGAGATGGCAACCTAGATCGTATTTTCCCCCATTGCAACTGAAGCTTTTCCACTGGACACTCCCCTGCAGAATCACCATCTAGATCAGCGGCTGGTAATATACTCTCTCGCCTACCCTCTATAGCGATTGTGGCTACAACTATCATTGTTGGAACCATGATCGTCCGATACCATCAGCCTGAGCTGTATATCGATGTTAATTGGGATGTAGCTTCAAAGCAAGATGGAGGAGGCTGCTACACGAGCTGGTCATCGGCTAGATTGTTGAGGGCTTTGCTAGGACTAGGGAAGGAGAAGCCAAAGTAACCCCTTGTTTGGCTTAGAATTTGATAATCTTCTCTCTGCCCGCAATACTATGTTTCTTGATTTGGGTTGAAATATTTTAGTTTTTTCGTTTTACTTGATATTGATAGATCATTAAAGTGTATCTTTTGCGTGTTCTTTATTCTTCTTCCCTGTTTCTCTTTTCATTATCAATACTTTGTTTCTTTGATTCAATCTTGCACACCTATGAATGATTTGATTGAAAATGCTTGTTTGGATTTGTGTGGAAAATCAATTACCTGTACGGAAACTAAGTTTTGGTAAATAAAAAAAATTCAAAAGTCTCATTTTCACATTATCGATTATTTGGCTCTAAATGCAGTTTTGACTAAAGCTCATCTTATTTGCTTCTCAATATCAATTATATGTGTTGGAACTTTTATTACTTGTCAAAATTTCTAGCACACCAAAATACCCTTGTGACCTGTCATTGTGCGGCTTGTGATTACATCCTCCAAACATAAGGACCTGAAGCCTTGGCCTATGCATCGGAGAGCCAGAGACAATAAGAATGTGAGGTTTTAGAGGCGAGAGAGCTATACATCGGCTTGTGATTGAATCCTCTAAACATAATCAATATGTGTGTGTTTTAATTAATTTTATAAATATTAAATGTATCACTAGTATATTTTTTTGTCAAATAAATGAAGATAAAAATTTAATAATATGACATGCAATTTCTTCAATATCTACCATAAAACCTAGGCCCTTTATTGTAATTTATACATTAAAAATTGATTTTGATTAAAATCATCCAAACATTTTTAATTTTATCAAAATTAATTTCAAAAAATATCATCCAAACACCATCACCACGTTATAATATAATCAATTATAATAAAAATTAATTATATTAATTAATTTTTTATTATCAATTATACTCAATTAAAATTCAAATGGATCCCTAATCTATTTTGAGATTTTGAATATAGGGAGAATTTCAATTAAGTACCTCTGTAGAAACTTAATTTTAGGTGGGTCCAAAAAATTTTAAAATTTCAGTTTAATATATGGGAGAACAATCAAAAGAATTTCACCAGTAAAAAGACTAAAATGCCCTTCATTTATTAAGCAGAATCATTAGTTGTTAATTTTCTTACTTCACTTGTTAATTTACAAATGTGAGTTGCAAATTATATGAGTTGATATATCAACAATTATATAAAATTTAACATTATTTTTTTAATTATGAGAAGTAACATCAGTTATTAAATTATAAATTTTACTTGTTTATTTACTAACGTTAGTTATAAATTACTTATATGTTTTGTAATTTACAAACATTAATTGTAAATTATTGACAGGTTTTGTAATTTATAATTGATATTAGTAAATTAAGAAATAAAATTAATAAATTAATAACTAATATTACTGATTATCTGACAAATGAATGTAATTTACAAGTAATATTAGTAAATTAATAAGTACAGTAAAAAAATTAACAACTAATGATTTTACATAATAAATAAAGGGTATTTGTTCTTTTTATCGGCAAAATTCCTTTGATTTTTCTCCTCTAAATTGAACTGAAATTTAAAAATTTTTTTAAACCCGCTTAAAGTTAAGTCTTTAGAGAGATATTTAATTGAAATTTTCTCTTAAGTATATGCTTAGCGCAGCTTTTCAAATGACTCTTTTGGCCAAAAAAAAAAAATTTCAAGGAAATGAGGAAAGTATCGTGACGTGAGACTTGTCAGTGCGAACTCTGTACCTGTTTGGATGCCATTTATCATCAATGTGCCCTTAAACCATGGTTTTAGTAAAAAGAATCCAAACGCCCTCAGTTTTTAATAATCAATCTTCTATTATGAAACTCTGTTTTGAGCTAAGCATCTAAAGGCAGCTTTTGATTTTCAATTATATCTTTTAAGCTCCTGTATTCTGTGTCAGAATTTTTACTTGTAAATGCATCTGCTTGCGTCTCATGAACCATTCAAGTAATCCCTTTCATTCTAGTGAATGTGTGCAGGTTCTCATCCCCTTTTCCTGTGAAACTTTTTTTCATACCAAAACACATAATATCATATTATAATATTAGTTATTGAAATTATGAAAAATTCTTCTATCTTTAACATGATTTTCAAATATAATTTTCATAATTAACTCTATATATATATATATATATATATATTAAATATTATATAACTATTAACTAGATCACTATATACATAATTATTTGTTAAATATAATTTAACAAATTTAGTAGTCTTATATACAATTATATCGATATTTATATCTTAAAAAGACAATGTCGTTTATAATAATTTGCAGATTAAAATTAATTATGATTAAATCATCCAATCATATCTAATTCTATCAAAATTAATTTTAAAAAAGCAAGATCTAAATATAATCACATTATATTATAATATAATCAATTTTTCGCATAAACAGGCTCTTTATATGATTAGATAGTAACGATTCATCATGGCGAACCATGCATCGATGACACGTAAAAGGAAAGCGAAGGAGGAGATCAAGAAACATGAGCAGGGCTATACAGCACCCAAGCTCTATTTGCAGGAAGGCACGATTCATACACTATTTGCTAATGAAATTATAAACTTCCTTCGACCAAGCTAATTAGTAAAGTACTCTATGTCGAAACTTTTAGGGTTCATCCGATTTCCAAGGACAGAATGCTTACCTCATTCTCAATTATATATCCATACACCTCGTTTGATTGTTGAAGCAACCGACAAGATTACTCCCGAATCCAATCAATCGGAATCCTTCTTCTTCAACTTCTCCACACGGTAATTCAGTTCCTCGAGCCGGACCACAAGACCGGTGACGGAGTGCAAGATCCAGTAAAAAACCAGAGAGGCGGCGATCAAAAGGGCATTGCGCTGGCTCTTGATGATGGATTTCTGATAGCAAAGGTGCTCAGAGGGATGGCGCCTCTGGGGATTGACAAGAGGGTCTCGTCTCGAACTTCCAGTAGATGTCGAGGAGCAGCAAGATGCAGAACGGAACGGTCGAAGAGAAAGGTCGGAGGAGATCTGTGGTGACGGAGATGAGACCCTTGCGAAGAGGGTCAGGATCAGTGAGGGCGAGGAGAAGCAGCATGACGGCTTCGCCGACAGCGTAGCTTAATACAACCCACTCTAGCGCGATTTGCAATTCAGCGCACGAAGGGACTTGGACCGATGATTTTGAAGGCTTGGAAGTTGAAAGACAGCCGCGTTGACGACGAGTTTGCTGGAACGGTGGGTCTATGGAAGATAGCGTCATTCAGGCGAAATTGAATGCTCGGTTTGTTTCGGTCTTTCGGCCAACTTTTTATTTGTTTTTAAATTTAAACTGTTCAAATTAAATTTATAATTTTAAAAATTATTAAACTTAAATCATCAAATTTTATTTAACAGTTGAGATCTGCAATAATACCTCCTCCGCTCTCCTATGCAGAGGAGAAAACCCAATTGCCATTTTATCCTTGCTTTGAATGTGAAGTAGAAAGAACATGATAAAAAATTGTTAAGAGAAAACCCACAATGTTAGACTGGTTCAGTACCTTGCCGTGAAGAAATGCTATCTCATATCATTGTTATACACATTAAAAAAATGTCGATACATTCTTAAAAAGTAAAAATAATATCTAAAAATTTCAACTTTATCCTTAAAATGTAATTATTAATTACATTACCCTTATATTCATTGTCAGGAGACATGACCTTCCAGAACCAGCTGCAATATAGATTGTGAGGTCTCAATGTCTAAAACTCTAACGCTTCTGCAAGATTTCCTGATGCAGAAGCAAAGTATACAGAAGATAGCTCTAACAAACAGTCACTCCATTTTAGCCGCCTAGCCCAAGTAGGAAAACCGTGGTGATACTCTCATCTTATTGCTCAGACAGAAAAATCTATTCCTTTCAATGTCCTTTCACTGAAGTGTTCTACGAGTAGGGGGCAGGGTTCGTTTCTCAAACAAAGCGTTACAAGACTTAGATATATGGAAAATAATACAACTTATCATGAACCCAACTAAAAAATAATTGGGGTTCGAATAATTTGGCTTGTCAAATCTCCACAACGCTGCTGAGGAATCCAAGCTAATAGATGCAAACTTCTCTTCAGACTGTCCTCCCCTGTAAATCAAGAAAATACTAAAATGTCTTATCCATGAGAATTCTAAACTAAGAGATTCCTATTTGGACAAAAAGAACTTTTAGCTTGCCTCAAGGGCATCAATCATCTGAAATCATCAAGGACATGCACTAAACGTGCAATTCAACCTTCTTGTTTACAATACAGTAAATGCTTGTTCATGCAGTTCGATTCAGAACTTTCATATTGATTGGTATCCTATCCCCTTTTTAGAGATATTGCCGAGGATGGTCCTCGTCACCTGTGAGTCTCATATCCAAACTCAATACAGTGACCAGTTTGTGATTTCTCTCTACTACAAACAATGAGCCTTCACATAATGGGACCTCAATGAGATGCATACACCACACTTTATCAGAACTTAAGCTGTAGTCCTTCCATGACAGAAAGAATATAGCAATATAAAATGTGTACGTCTAATCACCTCATAATATTAGCCTGCTGTTTATTTCCAAATTCCATTTCTTGCTAAAATACTAGGTCCGGGAAATATTGGTTAACAATTTAGAGTTTAGACGTACAAATATTTTGTCACATCTAAGCTAAATGATACTTTAACTATCCAATATCGAAGAATGGGATTTTAATACCTCCATATTACAAACTACTTGCCATTAATTAAAATTTGTTCTTTCTTTTGTCGAAGGATGTTCATATAGCACAACTGTTGAGGTATATACCTTAGGAAATTCTTGATTGATCTCCATAGGGAACCATGTTTGCTTCCCATGCTTGAATGACCTTTTGCGTGCCTCTTTTTGAAATCATTTACTCCGCCTTTAGATGTCCCTGAAAAACGAGGTGGCAAAAATCATAATGTGTCCCCCAAGTAGTTCAAGTATGTTATTCATACCAAGCTTTCACCAAAATTATTTAGTCCGCACTTCACAAGTTTTAAAGAAAAATGAACTATTACCCATGTCATCGGAAGAGATTGATGCGTCTTTGCCAGATGTTCTCAGTGAAGCCAATTCCTCAACAAGCACACGTTCAGCACCACTATGCCAAGCACAAATTTGAGGATAATGAAAATAAGGAACCCTCAAAATGGAAACAAGAATGGGTCTATCAAGAAGGCATCATGAATTTAACCTGAGAGGCCATATGTTTTCAGGAATCAAGCCACTACAGTTTGTAATGTAAATAAATTCAAACTCACTCAGATAGATACATTCGGGTAGTGAAGTGCCTCCATTATTGGGGGTAGAGTATAAAAAATTACAATCTGGGTAACTTCCCTTCCCGGCCAATCTTAAGATATTACTCCGAAAATTTTCCTTAGAGAAATCAAACCCAAATTGATAAAATACGCTATCCGTTCTTACCAAATAAGGTTAGTGTAAGGCCTTTTGAGGCAAAAGGTCATTGCAAACTCATTCTATTTGCAAATGCCGGGAGCACGGACAACAAATCACACATTTTTAAGAACCCTCAGAATGCTTGTCAAAGAAATCGAAGCTTGGAAGATAAAGAGTTTTTATCTGTTATCATAAATTGAGCTACCCCTTTGGGTCAAACCCTCTGAGATGGAAAATTATTAAAAACTTATTCATTTTGCGGCTTTTCAGTAGAATACTAACAAAGCAAATTAAAATAGAAACATTGGTGACTTATCATTGGTTTATTATGAAAATCTAACTAAAAATTGCTTCTCTTGGGGATCACAACCAAAGCAGACAAGCACTTTACACTTAAGAACCCAAAAATACTAAAAAGTTTCCCGTACTTGTGAAACTCCTGATAGGCAATTAATGACGTACTCTATCTTCTTTTCTTATTAAATAAACTTAAACAGAGATTGGCACGTTGCATGTTCTACATTTGAGGGAAGCAGAAGGGCCATCAACAAGTGATAACACCAGTTCCAATTTTAACATTTTCAAACAACTGTTTATTTCATACATACATAACTTATTTCTACGAAACACTGGGTTGAATGTCAATATCACTGCTGTAGCTGTACCCTCCCTCCCAAAAGCAGGGAGGAAGGAGGGGGGGAGATGTATCCATAATTTAATTACAAATTTTGGCACACTTCAAGCCATGCACAGATTTCATAATTCTATCGGGACTATCAGAAATAAGCAAAAAAGTTTAAAGTGCACAGACCTGATACTTTTAGGGATGAGAACATTCACGATGAAGTAATGATCACCTCGAACAGATGGCTTATTCATGTCAGGGACTCCCAAGCGTGACAACTTCACAAAATCTCCTGGTTGAATCCCAGAAGGAATTTGGAGATCCCTTAAACCCTCAACAGTTTCCACCTGAAACGACCCAAGTCCAATCTTCAAGGTCATACTAGTGCTACAGGCTATATTGAATAATGTTACTAGTGATTCAAGCGCTAAACTGACTAAAGAAATGTACATAATGATTAAACTTGTCAACTTGTTTCCATATACAACACTAAATAAAGACATTTCAAAACAGAGTCAACACTAATAGAACCACCATAATAACATAATGAAGCATGATCATCAATGTATTAGAAGACAACCACGAGGATCATGTTGATTGTACTGTAATTGTATGAATCCACAATTGCTAGCAAAGAAAGCCTAGGGAAGCTTGACCATTTGTGTAAATAGCCACAAGCAAGATATATCATAGAAAACATTAAAAGTAAGATATTCCATTGTTAGCCAAGGGTGCACACCCAATCAGGTCAACAATATGCATCTCAATAGCACGAAGATTGACATCACCTTTTTAACAGACCCAAGAATTGCCTCTGTGAAATCAATATTAATCTTAGAGTACAAATGAAGACCTTCTCTCCAAACTCCATCCTTTTCATCAACATGGATGACTATATAAAGGTCACCAGCTGTACCCCTGAAAAGATTGCACCTTTTCTCATCACCACTTAGATGAGTTGAATTCTTATAAATTCTAACCATAATTTTTTCTTCTGATTGCAAATGAGAGCAATTTTTGGCTCAGAACAACTTTAAATAGGTCTCACAATGGTGATCCTTTCACTTTCATCACCAAACAAGACACATTGAAATAAATTCACGTTTATCTATCATCAATAGGTCATCATGGTTTCAGTAGCAAAAGTTGCTGGTTTGAGCAGTAAAACTGATAGTGAAAAGAGGATGGGGGAGGCGACCAGGAATAGGTCAGTCTCCCATAGTTGACTAAATTTAGGGCTCAATACAATGTCATACTTTCTAGATTAAGAAGCCAAAGCTCCTGATAACTGTTGTTAATGAAGAGTCCAGTCATGACTCAATTACAACAATTTTCTGAAGACATAACATTTGACAGTGACCTTAATAATGTCTTGTTTCTATGTCTCAGTTTCTTATTAGCAAATTTAAAGAATATGCATTCAACTATAAAATTTCAAAGATTAATTGCATATGAAATTATGATGCCTAGGGTTAAAAACAATAAAAGGTCTTTGTTTTACTCACTATATTACTAATTACTAATTACTAATTACAACTATATTCCTCTCCTATCAACCTATAAATTAGTAACATCACCCTTGAGATCATAATACAACCCTCCTAGGCATGCCGAAAGATCATGTATCAGTAAAATATGTCTTGTCTATTCAAACGCTTCAGTTTCTCAGTTTCTGAAGAACCAAACATCGCATCAAGTACAACATCCTTTTTTGTTTATCTCTTTTCCTTTCCCTTTTCTTTTTGGGCCATGGGGTGGGGGGATCATCAGAGCTAAAGAATTTATGCTTATGCTAATGGCTAACCTATTCTTATAAAAATTCCCTTCTCCTTGAATTTGCATTGTGGCTCCGTTATTGACACCAGGAGGAATGACTATTTCCATTGTTTGTTTAGACTGCACCCGTCCACTACCACTGCACCTTCGACAGTTATCAGTGATTATCTTGCCAAGACCACGGCACTCAGAGCAGGTTGAAACCTAAAAATCAATTGATATCATCACTTCTGCATTGCTGATGATGTACAAATAAGTTTTTAAAAAAATAAACGGAAAGCATAAGAAATTGTAATGCCGAAGGTTAGCAACAGAGATGACAACTTCACAGACAATACAATAATCAGATATAGCAAGTAGTGGCAATTATAGGGTGTTAACGACATTATACAACTACTCTAGAAATTGATTAATCATAACAACAACAACAAGAAGCCTCATCCCACTAGGTGGGGTCAAATTGATTAATCATAAGTTTGAATAACATATTTCACAGTTGAAGTTATTTCTATCTGGATAAATTTACATCTTTAAACTCTTCAAATGCCAATTATCTACATCAAGATGAAGTAGGTAGGAAGATTCAATACAAGTCAAAAGATTAATATAAACAAGTCAATTTCTATTTTCTCTCTACACTAATGCCATGGGATGCAAATTATGAAGGAAAGAAACAATTTTTTGTTAGAAAGGGGGACAGTACTTTAGGAGAAATGGATAAAATCCTTGATATTAGACAGGGGAAAAAATACTTAGGATAAATGGTGAGGGATGATGAGGCTAGGAATCTTGAATAGCTATATATCATAGAATATTTCCTGATGTATTCATACGTCTTTCATGAATTTCAATTTAGAAAAGAAAATATCAATTAGTTTTGCCACAGAAACACATGTAACAAAAAGAATGGAATTAGTAAATGCAGTGATAGGTCATTGTCATGTCACCCATATCTACATTACCTGAGACATTACTCCAAAGGGTGTTCTTTGACTTTTCATCTCTCCTCCTCTGCCACCACAATTCATGCATGGTTTAATGCAATCCCTTGATTTAGCTCCTGTACCATCACAATCATTACATGCCTGAAAACAAGGAACTTCAATTTCTCTCCTTCCTCCAAAAATAGATTCCTCAAAGCTCAGGTGAAGGTCATACCTGAATGGAAAAATATGATAAAAATAAATACTGTATACTGTGGGAAAAAATTTGCCAGCAACTTACCAGCAGATATCTGTAATAGCTTAAACAATAAGTTGGCTTCTTTTTGGAGCTTGGCTAGGTTTTTCATGGGGAGGTGTCATTCAACTAGATAGGACAGCCATATTTCAAGAAACCAGTTATCAAAAGGACAGTATCAAAGTGGATGCCTTTAACTATTGAGTTAATTCTGGAACAAATTTGTCACAGTATGTAAAAGAGTAACATGCTCTCAACTTCCTTTTGTAGCACATGAGCCAAAACCAACTTGAGAAGATAGTTACCGAACATCAAGACCCCGTTTTCTGTTGTTTCTCAAATTGAAGTTCATTCCTCCTAGTTCATCACCACCTCCAAATAGACCATCCGAACCACCAAAGAATGCATCAAATACATCAAAAGGATCAACCTGAGTAATTCATAAAACATAAGTAACTAATAAATAAGAGGTACTTGATATAGAGCCATGCTTCTCCAAGACCAGGAAAAGATGAAACACATTATATGCTCATAACATAGGACTGTTTCATCAATGAAAGAATCTTGAGTTCCTCATGGGCCATGGCCAATGGAGCAATCAGAAGACTTGATTGTAAACATACCCCTGAAGCACTAGCTGACACTCCAGTTTCTCCTTGTAGACCTGCCTCACCAAAGCGATCATATAAAGATCTTTTCTCATCATCTGATAGAACCTATATACATGCTTTGTTAACCCAAGAAGGGAAATAAAGAGATCCAAATATAATGCAAAGCAGGTATAACCCATGAAGAATACAATCAACCATATATCCTACTATGCAATAACGGACATTGCACCTGATATGTAGAAAGTATGACCATGCCGATGCCCAGATTATGAGCACAGGGTAGTGGGTAAGTGAATAGAACTATAAAAGATAAAAAGGAGATGAATTGGGACCAATAATATAATAAGAAAACACCTCAATTGAATCCATCTTGCATTCCACAAGAGCACATTCTACTGACAGTAGAAAAAGGTCACACTCTTATGGGCAAAATAATTACCTCATATGCAGCACTTATCTCCTTGAATTTCTCTTCTGCCCCGGGGCTCTTGTTCATATCTGGATGGTACTGATAAAAAGAAAATCACATTTTTTATTGTTTTAGTGGTATATAACAAGAACTTACAGCAGACATGAACATTACATTTTATTCAAGTTTAGAATTCACTTAAAATCTACCAAAAGATAAAACTCCAAATCCTCAGTTGCAATGTTTATAGAAACTGGTGGATATAGTATAAGGAAGATGAAACCATCCATGAACCATGCAATTACTTGAACAAGACCAGCGGAGATGGAAGCTTATAAAGAAAAAGAGGTCACCAGTGCAACAGATGATTAAACCAACGGTAATCTTTTCGTTTTTCGTTGGTTATGGATTTTCCTGTATCTGGTTTGAATGTGCCATTTGGTACACTAGATGTTCCGATGAGAATGGTTGAGACAAATTGGGGAGATCATGGTGATTAAACATAGTTTTCTCTTATGGTAGCATGGGTTGGTTATGAGAAGACTCCAGAAACGCTAAGTCATATAAAATTACTTCAAAGACAATTTCTACAGAAAATTGATCTCACAATACTGGGAAAAAGGAAAAAGACATTGCACATAACAAAAGGAAAGAGGCAAAAGAATTTTTGCCTTCTTACACACACACAGTGATCAACTGTTACTCCCAAAATTCAGCGGCAATGTATTAAGAGCTTACAGGGGAAGAAGAGAACCGAAAAGACCACAAATACCGAACATCATTTTCCCAGAACCTAAACACAAACCATAGCTATAAAACCAAGATGCAACAGATAGTTAGAAACAAGCACAAAGCCACCAACCTTACGGGCTAGTTTTCTGTAAGCGCTCTTAATCTCTTGCAAAGAAGCATTCTTACTAACTTTCAAAGTCGAATAGTAGTCATTTCCAGTAGCTCTGGCTATAATACAGCGCCAGGCTTTCCCGCGCGCGAAAACAAAACGAGGGTTCTGAAAAGAACCAAATTTGGGCAAGAATTCAGAATCAATAGCACTCAATCCGAAGCTACGAACAGACGAGGGTGCGCAGGAGGCCTGTAACACATTGGATCCAACCAAACAGTTGGCAATACGATTGAACTTGGATGAAGGGTGATTGAGGTTGGCATAGCAAGAGGGACTGTGGATTGAATGCATCTATGGGAGGGTTCAGCTCAGAAATTGAGAAAGAGGGGATTCGTGGAGAAGTATAAAAGGAAGCGAAAGGGTTTAACGTTTGCTGAAGGTTTTAGAATTCAAGAAAATTTTCATGTTTATGCTTCATTTGGCCGGAATGCATATTCTTGCTCTTTTATGATGGCCAAAATATTCTTGCTCTTGTTTAAAGAGAACTTTTATGCTTAGTTTTTTTTATTTATAATTTCAAAATATTTATTTGAATCGAATTAATGAGATCTCATGTAAGGGTATTTACAAGACTGAGATAGGAGCATAACATTCCTATCCTATGTCTCATTTTGAAAAATAATTGAGACTAAATTTATATCTTGTGTTTTGTCTCATTTTGTTCCAAAAGTCATTCCACCCTATTAAAAATTGGGACAGAATCGAGATGAGATCAGGACGTTCAGCCGGCTCGCGGACAATGTAGGAGAAAAGCACAAATAATAATATTCATTAATTAAAATTTTAAATTACATAACTTATTAAGTTTAAAATTAAAACAACATGAGCACATAAATTACAATAATTATAGAATTACATTGATTATAACTACAAGTGCACAAATTAAAATCAAATATGCATGAGACATAAGACATTATGATAGTAAATATAAGTAATTTCTAAATTATAAAAGTAGCAACAATAGACAAGCCTGATGTAACATCACGTTATTGTTCTTTTTCTTTAGTTAAAATATGTTAAGCTAGCGACTCTTTGCAAAAATAAAATAAGGAATACAATATAAATAAAAATTATTAAATTGATAGATATAAAAATAAATTATATTAAATAGTTAATATATTGTAAAAAAAATATTACGATATACTATTTACTCTATGTCTTTAAAATTATCAATATAAAAAACTTTTAGTTTTAAATTAGAACATCACGTATTGAAAATTATAATTAATATACTTAATATATATTTTTAAAATAAAAAATTATATATATAATATTCGAAATGAGGCGTCCCAAGGGTAATTACTTGTCTCATCGTGTCCTGCAAAGTCTCATTTCGATTGTTTTTGGATTGAAACGAAATCAGTCTCAAAATGATCAGAACAGAATGGTGCCAATTAGCATAAATATAAGTTGAATACCCCTAGTTTCATGGATTGCATTAAATTTGACAAACTAACTATTTAAAATACAACTGACGAATAATATGTCTTTATGAAAATTTTTATATTATGTTATATATATATATATATATATATATAGAAAACTAACATCTTTCCTTCATCAATGTTTATCAAATTTTTATTAAATTTTATCAATATAAACAATCAGTTATGTTAATTAAAAAATTTAAAGTATTTAAAAATTGTAAGGGTATCCATAGGATGAGAAAAGGTTACGACAACCCTAGTGCTGCCCAATCTCCCATCTCAAAAAGGAAATGAAATTTTATTTTCATCCCTTGTTCCATTTCATTTTGGAGATGATCTGGACTCATTTAGAATAGGGACATGATTGAAAAATCTTGACAAAAAAGGCAAAGAGTTAAAAGAAGATAGACAAATAAGAATAAAAAAACTAACCTCTGTAACAACATTCCTATATTTTCATTGGTTTATATTTTTAGTATAATAAATTTTTTAATTTTTTAAATTTATCTCAATTATCAATTTAGTCTCTTGAATTTAATTTTTATCTATTTAATTCTTCATATTTTCTTAAATTATAACATTAGTTTTTTAAATTTTAAAATACAAATTAACTGTTAATTTAATATAATAAAATGTGTAATGTAAAATATACATTAATGACTTGACATATGTATAAATAAAAATGAATTACTTGAAAAAATGTTTTAAATCTTTTATTATAAGTATGTTGAATATTCTATTTGTTTTTGTTTATAATAATATTTCCCTAAAACTTTCAAAAAGAATGAAATATTGCGTCCACATTGAACCAAACATCCGTTGATTGTTGAATCTTTACTTTGACCAATAAACCAAACATGTGTTGCTCTTTGAGTTGGGACTCGGTTTCGGTGCTCATCCTAGGATGAGCACCGTGGTGCTCAGCACCAAAACACTGCCGTTTGGCAGTGTTTTTTTTTTGTTTCCCTTTTTTTAAACCATAAATTTATTATAATAATAAATAATTCTTATAAAATTATTATTTTAATATTTAATAAACTAATAAATATTAAGATGTTAAAATTGAACCTAAATAATTTGAATGAAAATTTTGCTCTGAGCATTGAAAACTGTATTGAAAAATAAAAAATGATCTGAATAATTTAAAATAAGAGTTGAATCTAATAAAATGAGTTAATTTCTTACACTGTAATAAATCAATATTTGAATTTTTATTAAGAGAAGTACTTATATTTAATATCTAACTATGCTTTGAATGATATTATCTCTCATAGATAAATAACTATGCAAAATTAATAAAATAAAAAATTATTTTTATTTATAATTTTAATATTTTCAATACAGTTCTGAACTGTTCAGATTAAAATTTATATATGAACTATTCAAATCATATTTTAATGAGTTAATCTATTCATATTTAATTTTAACATCTTAATATTTATTTGTTTATTAAATATTAAAATAATAATTTTATAATATTTATTTATTATTATAATAAATTTATAGTTTAAAAAAGCAAAAAAAAACCGAAACTGATTCCTTTGAGTTGCTCTTCTTCCACAATCAAATTATCCTTCTCTCTCTCATCCCCCCTCGGTTTCTCACTGCCAGCAATACATTGGGGGTTTACATTCCCAGACACAAATTCCAAGGCAGGTAGTCCTCAACAAGTGATGATGGAGGCAGCAAGATTGTGAGTTATGGGTAGAGTGACAATGAGGGAGTAGCAAAGTTAAAGGCAATCGACAGAGGAAGCCAGAAATGGAAACACAACGTCGATAAAAGGACAAAGGAAAAGACAGTGATGACAGAGGGAGTTGGAGAGTCCTTTTCTTCTCTCCTTGTCTTCCTCGTTCATGGTTGCTTTCTTTAATTTGTTTGGGATAGTCTAAATCTGTTTTAAAGGCAAGCAATAGCAGTAGCAGTATTTTAGAATCTTCTTTGTTCTTTGTGGAGCATTCTATAAAGTTGTTTCCTTTCCTTCTTACCCTTATTTGTTTTTTTATGTGTTTGGCTGCCAAAACTCTTAGCTAGATTACTTCTGGGAAAATAATATAAATCTAAAGATCTTAAACCCTAATTTGCATGAATCTCAAACCTCCCTTTTAATTAACTATCAGAATCCACCCTTTGTAGTGAAACCACTTCCTCGCACTCAGAGGAGGAAGAGAAGCTCTTGTTGGTGGTGTTGGTTGTGTTGTTGCTTTCTTTCTCGAGAAGGCTTGAAGGAATGGTGCTCCCATTGGTCATCGGAGATTTCATAGAAATCACGCTTCATCGCCGTGACTTGGATATGAATGGAAAATGTGTGCCCTATAAGAGCTCCGGATGTTGAAGAAGAAAGACTCAAGTGAAGGGAGCTGGAAAGTCCCCATTTGTTCAGGGAGCGTTTCAAAGTCAGGAGGAGTAATGGAAATTAGAATTGAAGGTGAGAAACAGAGGGGGGGAGACAAGAGAGGGAGGGAAGGAGAGAGAGAGAGAGAGAGAAAGGAATAATTTTTTAAAATTAAAAAAGGCAAGCAAAAGCTTGATTATAAAATAAAATTAAACATTGCAAAGAAATAAATCTGTCGTACATGATAGCAGAGGCATATTCAAAAAGAATAATATCATAACTTGAGCTTAAAAAGGAGCTGCAGTGAGCATTTCAAGCTAACATATTAACACATGCAATCCCCTCTCTACAAGGGTGATGAAGCTCAAAGTCAAAGAGGAAGATCAAATACAATCGAATATATTGAATTATCGACTGTAACGGGTGATCAGAATTGCCGTCTCTAAATATGAGATTCATAGCTTTTGAAGAATCAATGAACATGCAAATAAATTAAAGTTCATACTAAAGGCAAATTTAAATACTAACTACAATTGAGCAAAGTTTAGCTTCAATACAAGAGATGAGAGAGGAATAATTTGATTGTGGAAGAAAAGCAACTCAAGGAGCCACACGGGTGTGTGGGTTATTAATAACGGATGTCTAGATTAATAGTGAAGCAATATTGCATCTTTTTTACAAGTTTTGGAGTGATGTTACTTTTAAAAAATATTTAAAATATTAGGTGCCTCTTACAAGAATGTTTCAAAGCACAGTTACCCTTTAACTCAAATGAAAATAAATCAACTCTTAAATTAATTTAATTTTTAACATGATCCCTTTTGTTCTTTTGTTTTAAAATTTTTTTTAGTTTTTTTCTATTTAAATAATTACACTTCTTTTTATATGACTGCTAATAATATTTCATTATCAATGTTACAGTTGATATTAACCATGTTTACTTGCATCTTTAAATAATAAGAATTAAATTAATAGTTGAAGTAAATTTAAAAAGATTAAATTAATAAAAATTAAATTGAAAAGACAGTCAAGGTATATTTAAGAGATTAAAAATTTTATTATCCCTCATTTCTTTTAAGGCATTTGATTAACTTATGATAACATTTGTACATGGGTATACATCTGTGACGGTTAAAATCAGAGTGCATTTTCATTTTCTTTGCACTCTCTGTTTATATTGCTGAAAACAAGGGTAATTATTAGTAATTTTTTTAATAAAATTTGATGTGTGTGTGTGTGTGTGTAGAGACGCACGCATCTATGGTGGGGGCTGCATGTATATGTGTACGATCATTATTCAAGATAGGATGACATCAACCTATATCCCATCCCGACCCAATTTCTTTTTTTTTTCCAAGTTAGAATCAACTCGTGATGATTGATACGCACACCTGTGCTTGTTAAGTTTTATCACTAGTACGAAATAATCTATTAACGAAAACTCCCTAACGCCAGCGGGGTTTTCATGCGTTTTGATTTGACCTACTTTTTTCGGAGTGGTTATGAATTCCCGGTCTTGATCGGTATTTTTCCAATACTGATCATGTCAGAATGGGTTGATCATGAGTTGAAAAAATTCTGAATAGGACAACAAAACTAGAACAAAATTTGAGTCCAGAAGGGACAAGGGTTGAGTATCAATACCCACTTTTCCAACCACCAAAAAAAAAAAAATCTTGCATATCATCTGTTAAAATTGTACCACCACCATCATCATCATCATCATCATCATCATCATCATCATCATCTAGCCATCAGGACTC